AATGTCCATTACAATTTGACTTCCTAGACTCAAATAATTTGGATTATAAACCTCTTCTTATTTATGATACTTGCATTGAACCTTTATTGAGCCTCCTAGCGTGGTTTCTAACCTTAACCTTCCTATTGCAGTTCATAAAGCAAAAAGGACATATGTTAAATATCCTATCTCAAATTATGTCTCTTATAATACCTTATCTCCCTCTTACTATACCTATATCTCTTCCATTGCTTTTGTTTTTATCGTTCAATGTGTTACTGAGGTAGTGTAATTCCCTCATTGGAATGATGCTATGAACTAGGAAATGGATGCACTTGAGAAAAATCAGACATGGGAAATTGTTTCTCTTCCAGTGGGCAAAGTTCTTATTGTGGCAAAAGGGTACACTCAGTCTTACGACATTGATTATCAGAAAACCTTTGATCCAGTAGCCAAGATGAATTCAATTCGAGTTATCATGTCTCTTGTTGCCCATTATTCTTGTCCCTTATATCAAATGGATGTTAAGAATGCCTTCCTTAATGGCGACCTTCAAGAAGAAGTTTACATGGAACTTCCTCCTAGAGTGAACATCCCTGGGAGTGAAGGAAAAGTTTGTCGTTTAAAGAAATCCCTTTATGGCCTTAAACAGTCCCCAAGAGAATGGTTTGACAGATTCAGAAAAGCTATCTTAAAAATTGGTTTTTCTCAATCTCAAGCTGACCATACCTTATTTATTAGGAGAGCAAATGGAAAATTGACTATGTTGATGATATTGTTATCATAGGGGATGATACCTCTAGAATTGCTCAACTAAAGTCTTTTCTTGCTACTGAATTTGAAATTAAAGATCTTGGAAATCTTTGGTATTTCCTAAGGATTAAGGTTGCAAGGTCAAAGAGGGGCATTTATATTTCTCAAAGGAAATATGTCCTTGATTTGCTTCAGGAAGTAGGGAAATTGGATTGTAAACCAGTTGAAACTCTAATTGGTCGCAATCATAGGTTGGGAGTTGATGATAGAGATGTCCTTCCTGACAAAGCTGTGTATCAAAGACTTGTCGGTTGCCTTATCTACTTGTGTTTGACTAGACCAGATATATTATATGTTGTGAATTGCTTCAGGAAGTAGGGAAATTGGATTGTAAACCAGTTGAAACTCTAATTGGTCGCAATCATAGGTTGGGAGTTGATGATAGAGATGTCCTTCCTGACAAAGCTGTGTATCAAAGACTTGTCGGTTGCCTTATCTACTTGTGTTTGACTAGACCAGATATATTATATGTTGTGAGTGTGGTCAGCCAATATATGCACAAGCCTAGATCATCTCATATGCAAGCAGTGAATAAAATACTTGCCTATTTGAAGAGATGTCCAGGAAAAGGGATGTTGTATTTTAATCATGGGCATCTAAAGGTAAAGGATTATTTTGATGATGATTAGGCAGGTTCTATCAATGATAGGTGGTCTACTTTTGGCTATTGTACCTTGGTGGGTGGTAATGTTGTATCCTGGAGAAGTAAGAAACAATCAATCGTGGCTCAATCTAGTGTAGAGGGAGAGTACAGAGCTATGGCTCCTGGATTTTCCGAATTGTTATGGCTAAAGAACTTGTTGACAAAAATGGGAATGCAGATTGATACTTCAATGGTATTATATTGTGACAATCAGGCTGCCATAAACATAGCCCATAATCCTGTTCATCGGCATTTCGTTAGAGAAAGAGTTGCCAATGAAGAAATTTGTTTACCTTTTGTGAGGTCTAAAGATCAATTCGCTGATTATCTTACTAAAGGTGTCTCAAAATCAAAGCTTGACAACAATTTCAACAAGTTGGGCATGACAAATATTTATGCTCAGCTTGAGTGGGAGTGTTGAGAGTGTAAGGGCATTTATGTCCTTCCATGTTTTTTTATTTGGGCGCCTATTCAAGGGCCCATTTGTAATTTTCTTCAATATGTTAAGTAAAACATTTCAGGGTGTGAACAGTAACACACCTGAGATTCTGGACGAAAACCTCTTCTTCTTCTTCTTGAATACTTTAACTAATACTTTATGCAGAATCATGAAATTCCTTGTGAGCAGGCAACTAAAAGGTTTGAGCAAGAAAGACAAAATTATGTGGGAACTATGCCTGCAGCTATCTTTTGGTGTATATGGATGGAGAGGAATTAACTTATTTTTTTTAGAACAAAGCAACACATATAGAGACTTGTACTCTTGGGGAATACCTATCAATAGCAATTTGGTTCAATTGACAAAGTTCTATAAAACAAAGCAGTTTTATGATCTAAACCTTTCACAATTTGATTCAACTAGAACCTCCAAGATTTACAATACAATTACAATTTTCAGAAAATGTCCCATGCAGGAAATATACTTTTTAAGTATTTCAATATAGAGAAGTGGATGACACTTTTTCTTGGGTTAATAGATCTGCAACTAGCTTGACAGATTGTTTAGCCAAAGCAAGGGATCAACAAGGAACAACTGTTCTAGGCTGTGATGTAACTGAAGTTTTGGGCCAGGTAGTGTGTGCCTGGATTGTAACCTTCTTCATGATAGTTAACGAAATGTTTCTGCTACTGATAAAAAAAATATTTTAATATCCAAATTGAGTTCTGATCTGGTTACATTATTCTAATACTTCTTTTCATAGTCATGGCTCGTAAATTTTATACTTCTCTTTATAAGTCTTTCAGACCAGAACTTACATTTTTTTCATCAATAACTGTAAATTTTCATTAATAGATAGAAAGTAAATTATGAGTACAGTAAAAGTGTAGAAGCAGTGAGTGATAAGCCCTCTTATCTCTCCCCGAAAAATTCTTCCTTCTTTTTACAACCGTACCCAAAACAACTGATCTCTTCTCACCCCTTCCTTGTTTGCACTTCATTTAACCCAAAGTATTCTCACTTCCATGCTTTGTACCAACCATTTTTATTTCTTCCTTCTATTCTTATAGCTCCATAATTTTGCCTCCTCACCTTGTAACCAGAACTTGCATTTACTAGTCCTTTAACTGATTTTAAAAATGTTGATGTGGTAAGAGATTAAGGTGGTGATCAATGACTGTTGAAAAACACTCTAAAAGCAGATGGGAAAAAGAACAAAATGACTCGTTCAGCATTTCAGCAATTAACCACTGACTTATTTGCTGATTGGTGAAGCATGAAGATGTGTACAACTATTTTACCCCTAAATAATTTTCATATACCAAAAATACTCCTAAAATTGAGCTGGTTTTTAAATTTGGAATATTTTCAGCAGTCCATTTCTAGTGCCTATTTCAGCAGTTACCAAATACCACATAAAAGGTTTCTAAAGTACTTAAAAAAAAATCAAACTTAGAGACATGAATTTCTATATCTTAGAGGACAATGTAAGCCAAAATAATATTACTAAATAAGCCTGGCCAATGATGTAGGATTAACCTAAGCAATATACAAATAAAAAATCAGAATGTTTGTAATCAAAACAAGAAAAGGACATTGATGGAAAAGGGACAACCAAAACAAGAATACCAAGCCAAGGGTATTTTAGTGAGATTAATACCTTGAAAAAAACAAAAGGAAAAAGGAAAAAGATTGCCCTTGTTATTCTTGTTAACAGGTCATTAATTTTATGCTCTAACTACTTAGTTCAAGTTCTTTTCTTCTTGTTAAAAATCTACGATCTTTTCCAACAAAATCCAAGATCCATTCCACCTTTCTTATTTTATCTTCTCATAAACAATTTGACTAGTTCTAATCATAGAAAAGTTTACTCGATTATCAAATTTAGACACTGTTGCTTTCAACATTAAATTCACAAAGAGGTCAATATGATTTGCCAAGTCAAAAGACAAAATATTTCTTGTGTACAATCTCTCTTACAGAAACCCTAAACCCCAATACACCCAAACTCTCTCACTCAGCTTCTCTAAAAAGCCAAAGATACATTAAAAAGAAACCCCCAAACTACATAATGTTAGATGGAACACAGTAGCCGAAGAAGAAGAAAAGAAGAGAAGAAAGTTTAAGAATGGCGGCTCAAAAAACCTTTCAGCCGACCCTACTATCTTATATATATGTTTATTACATAGTGTTACACGAATGGACTAGAATGCCCCTGATTAGTGATGGGACACCTAGACAAATAAAACATTAAACAAGTTTAGGCCCAATAACTAATGACTTAAGACCCAACAATGACAAACATATACATTAAATCAGCCGAACCAACACATAACATATTGTATTCAGGTCCGACCCATAATCTTAATATGGATTGGGTCCATACAGCCGCAGGGTCTATGAAATGTTGCCTTGGGATTTTTCTCAACTTGACTCAGAGCAGGTCACGAAGTGGGTCACAAACAAAAACTTCAAGGCACAAACACCTACCGATTCTAGAAAGTCTCCTCCATCTAAAGAGATTAAATAGGGGTTGGGGTGGTTATGTAACCACCCCATTATAAGTGAATGACACCTAGCTCCCACCTCTAATTTCATTGTAATTATAAATTTTAACCAGATGAAAGGGAAACAATAAAAAAACAAATATGATGTGTGAGTAGTTATTTGCTTATTGGCATTTTCCTTTCCATTTTTTTTTTTTTTTTGCAATAAGTAAAAAGGAAAATTTATTAATAAAAGAGTGTAATGCATATTCTAGTGAAGAGATATCACCAGAAAAACAAAGCTACAAAGGAGATCAAAGAAGAAAAAAGGAAACACTCAAAGAAAATAAGAAATACAAGAACCAATAACATGGGAAAATTTTAAGCTAACTCCATAATGTTCCAGAATCCAGAACCAAGGTCTTCCTTGGTTCCATCTGTTGATCTCAGTTTTCAAAATATCCATAAAAGGTAACTCCCAGAAATACTTAAAACCAGAAGCCAATAAGCAAAATTTGTATATCCTAATCTTAAAATCTATGTTCTTCACATTTATAAACATGAAATGATCACTTATGCAACCAGAACAGGGATATACCATTCATTCAACCATATCTACACTCTACAAGAATGTACAGACCTCAATAGCAACCAAATAATAGCGGATTGCAAGATCAATATTGCCCTTCTCCTGTATTAGGGAAAAGAAATTCAGTCTTATAGCCCAGCTAAACACATCAAAATTACTATAAACTGATTCTGTCTGCATGAGTGGTAGCAATAATTACCTTCCAAGCATTTGCCATGTTCCCAAAGCACTCAGCAAAATGTGGTTCAACCCTAAGAGCTTCTTCATTCTTTGTGATACACATATCAAAATCATGCAACTGGATAACATAGCAAGACATGTTTAGATAAATTTGAAATTCCTCTTCCACCACATTGAAGATTGAAAATTCATTTATGTATCAACACAATAGTATGAGCTAAAAGCAAAGATTACCACCAGAGGTACTTTCTTATAACAAAGTCATCATAAAAACAAATGGAGCTTTCAAATAATAGCACATTCATTCATAGAACAAAAGTTGAGATCACTTAAATAAAAAAGGAACCTGATAATGAATTGCACCCAAAAGGAGAAGATTATCTGTCCGCCGGGGGTTTCTCTCAAAAACAGCATTGCTGTGTTCTAGTGCCTGTTTATAGTTCCCAGCCTTGTACTTCTGATGAGCAAGGGCCAATAGCCTGTCTTCATCAACTACAGCATAAAGCATTTTTTCAGTAAACAATCAAAAATCACAGAAATCTTGAATCCTTTAAGCATAGCAGCCAGAAGTAGTTAGGTAGGCTAGCACAAAATGTCCAAAAATCATTTTTATGATAAAAAGAAAAATTTTATTAGAGAAAAATAAAAACTGAATACAACCACCAATAAGATGCTAAGGCAACACCTTAACCCAACACACAGGAGATGGAACACTATTACAACAAACAAAGAAAAAACGTTTTAATCACTCTAATCAGGACCTTTGTGAATTTCTCCGCAAACCATTGATGACCACACTTTAAAAGACAGACTTGGAAGAACTCCTTTAAGCAGAAATGCTACCATTATTCTTCCTCAACAAACTCATCCTCCCTACCTTCAACTTCTTCATCCCAAACCTCTCCTCCTTTCCCAACTACAGTCTTCTTCATTATCTCCTCCCTGTACCTCCTCGCGAGTTCAGCAAAAGCTCTACGAGCCAACGCCTATCCACCCAGAAACCAGACCTAAAGAGTTGCCAACCTCAACATCCCTCTCAGCCAATATCTCAATTTCCACACTTCCAGTCTTATATTCTTTCTTCTCTGATAGATTCTCACGACTCCTCTTTTCAACATCTGCTCCAACCTCCCTTTCATCTTCCTCTATTCCAATTCTAGTCTCAAGCTTCTCAATGGGATTTTCCACCAACTGATTGTCCGTTCTTAGAGTTGTTTCAGTCTTCAGATTCGTCCTAGCAGAAACAGTATGAAAAGAAGATTTGATTTTAACTCTTCTCTTGTACCACCTTTTGTATATGTTAGTAGGACCTGCCCCAATCAGGCCTTCTTTTTCTTTTTTTGATCAATAACAGAAACTTTATTAATTAAGAGAAATTTTATGAAGCTTTAGATACAATAAGGGGGAGATAAAAAGTCTTAGCTCCCCATCAGCAAATTACAATGAAAGGAAATTAAAAACTAGCCCAAAAGATAGACTCCCTATTCACCCCTTGCTTGGACAACCCATCTGCAAAAGAATCGGCGGTCCTCTTCACCCAGCTGTATTGTATCTCAATGCCCCTACACAACCATAAGAATTTTTTCTTTTCATTATTATAGCTCCACAAACCACTGTCCTCTTTCTTCAACCAACTAATCACCACCTTTGAATCGCCTTCCAATATCAGCCAACTGATATTTAGTTCCCTTGCTCTTTGAACTCCTTCCATAGCTGCAAGGATCTCAGACCTAAGAGAGTCTCCTTCTCCAATAGGGCCTGAGAACAAAGCAATAACAATCCCTTCCTGATTATTGAAAACTCCCCCAATCCCAGACAGCCGTGGATTCCTTAGACTACTGCCATCAAAGTTCAATTTTATAAATCTAGAGGGAGGAGGGGACGACGAGGGACTAAGACTCCTCTTACACGGAGTAGAGGTTGCTATCTCTTTCCAGTTTCTTAACAAGTCAGCCATAGGAAAGTCTGAAAACAGTTCCATAGATTTTAGCTAGTGGGTAGCCCTCAAAAGTATTAGGTCTAATAGGTCTTCCAGGGTTCTTTCCTTATCTGAAAAAATTCGAGAATTTCTTTCCTCCCACAGTGACCAACACACGGCTGCCCTAATACTCCTCCACATCATCTTCCCTCGCTTCTTAGGCCATCTGAAAAACAAAGGGGAGAACAAACTTTGGACACTCTCGAGAGGATTCCAAGAACACACAAAGCAGGAAAGTACCCACTCCCAAACAATTTTAGTAACCTTACAAGAGACCATAAGGTGGTAACCAGATTCCCCATCATCTTTACAAAGAGAACATCTATTAGGAAATAAACAATAATTGGGTCTCTTTTTCTGAAGTAAATCATTTGTGTTTATTCTTTACAGGAAAATTTCCCAACAAAAAAAACCCACCCAAGGAGGAATAGGCTTGCTCCAAATTTCCTTAGTCATAAAGGACAATCCAAGAGGACAGATGACTGAGTTAAGGTTTCAAAAAACGAAGCACAAGAGAAAGTTCCTGAGGTGGAAGGGGTCCAAAATCTGGTGTCTTCCCTATTAGGATCTATGAAAACATTCTCAAGGATGGCTAACAAAGGTAAAAGTCTGTCCAAGTCTATATCCCTAATTGCCCTTCGCAAGCCAAGGTTCCACCCAAAACCAGAAATAGAGTCTGAAGGACCTAAAAAAGAAGAGATAGGTTCATTTTTCAAGTATGGCAGAGCATACAGGGAGGAAAATTGGTCCTTCAAAGGTGAAACCCCAACCCAAAGATGTTCCCAGAATTTTATTCGATTATCAGAGTTAAGACCGTACTTGATCCAAGGGGAGAAAGTTGGAAGTAGATCATTGATGGATTTCCAAGGAGAAGCAGCTGTAGCCCTTGCCACAATTCCAGAATCCCAACCATTGTCTTCCAGCCCATGTATGCTAGCCATGATCTTTGTCCACAATTTTTCCTTTTCCACTGTAAACCTCCACAACCATTTTCCAAGCAACGTCATATTCCTTTTCTTGATGTTTCCAATCCCAAGGCCTCCTAGTTTTTTACATCTAATTACCACCTCCCATCTCACCCTATGATCTCTCTTCTCCTCTCCAGGCTCCCACAGAAAATTCCTCATTAATTTTTCCAATAAGTTGGAGACCTTAGTGGGGATCTTAAACACTGACAAATAGTAAACAGGTAGGTTAGCTAGGGTAGACCTAATCAGAGTGACTCTCCCACCTAAGGAAAGATAATTTCTCTTCCAGGACGCAATCCTCTTCTCAAATCTCTCCACTACCGGAATCAAAAAGCTTACGTTCTTGGGATTATCTCCTAAAGGGAGGCCCAAGTACGTCAAAGGCCAATCTGAGATTGCACAACCTAACACACCTGCATAATCCCTTAACTCCCTCTCCTCCACATTCACCCCCACCACACAACTCTTATCAAAGTTCACCTTGAGGTTAGACATCTGCTCAAAGAGTTCTATTGCTAATTTTAAATTCTGGATCCAACTTATGTCCCCACCCTCACAAAACATAATTGTATCATCTGCAAATTGTAGATGTGCCAGTGGTACCTCCTCCCTTCCAACTTATGTCCCCACCCTAATCAGGCATTCTTTTAAACAGGAAAAGACTTTAGTAACATGCACAATATGGGCATCACTTGGAAAAGGAGATTTTTTTGCACCAATATCACTTGATCAACTTCCATCTTGTCACCTATACCTTTCTTCCTGCCTAACTCCTAATTTTTCAATTATCACCTCGAAACAAAGCTTCTCAGTGTCTTCAACTGAAGAAGCATTTTCTAATGCCACATCTTCCCTGTTGATATCCATTACAGTACAACCAACTTCCAACTCTCTTTCATCACCCAACATTACTTACCTTTCACAATCAGTCCTAACCCCTAATGGCCTCCTAAATATCAGCAAGATTCTCGTTTGATTCAGCTCCAACCCCATACCTTTCACTTCTACAAACAAGTGCATTGTCCTCCAAAACACTCGAGCTCTTCGACACCAACTTCTTCTTCCTGAAGTTGTCATAACTCATTACTGGCAATCACCCAAACCCCCTTCTCATTCTCTTCCCTTCTAGTCTTTCATATCCTCTTTCCACAAGAACTCAGCCTCTCAAAACACTTGGGGGTTCTACATTTGAAATCTTTTACTTTTGAAACCGTTAAGCAGCTGGACCAATCACCTTTGTTAAGTTGATTGAGCTTCTCCTTTAGGAAGTGAACCCCCTTCGACCTCTCATTTCCTCTTGAACCTATAGAATGCTTTTCAATTCTCTCCACTTCCCAACATTTCCTTTCAAACCCACCTAAATCCAATCTCTCTTTGCCTCCCTCTTCAATGTGTCGCTCTACTGAAGGCTTATTTCTAGTCAAAATTACCTCCTTACCCCTTGCACATCCAACTCCCATTTACTTCCCACATCCACAATTACAATTTTACCCTTTGACCTTGACACGTCTTTTTTTTTTGAAAAGTAAAATAAAAACTTCATTAAATTAAAAAGAAGATTACATAAGGAAGGTGATAAGATATCACCCGAGAGAAAACATGACTATTGACTCAAAAACTCCACCTAGACTTCAGCATAATCATCAGCAATCCAATCGGAACCAAGGCCCTAATCTTCCCCTTCAAAAACCTCCTCCTAGCCATTGCCATCTTCATCCCACCTCCCACCTCTATTTTTCTTCTCCTTCTGGGTTTCTTCTCTCTTCTTCCTCTCAAACTCTTTAAAGGATTTTCTAGCAAATTCCTCTCCACCCCAGAAAAATAGACCCAGGCTTTTGTCAACCTCTACATCTTTTTTAGCCTCTTCCTCAAAGGAGATACTTCCTGAATTCACCACCTTCCTCCCAAAGGTTTTATCGCGATCTCTTACAGTGGAGCAGAATTGTTCCCTATTGATTCCCCCCGCTGTTGAGTCCCCAATTGCTGGTCCTGGTTAGAACCAACCCGTAGAACCTTACCAGCAGCATCTCCGGTTGTCGTCTTTGAAAGACTTCTGCCCCTTCTCTTGTAGACCTTCTTGTATTCCTTGGTAGGTCCAGTCCCAATCAAACCACCTTTCAGCTTAGAGAATATTTTTGTAACACAAACAGTACGAGAGTATCTTATTCCCGATTTTCCGTAGGAAAATTTGGTTTTCACTAAATTGGCAACATCTTAAGTGTTCTTAGCCTGACACATCATCATCTTCCACCTTCAGCGGTCTCTTCATCTTCCTCCCCACCTCTAGTCCACCTTCATAGAAAACCTTACCAGTTTCTCCCTACACAACCTCCAAAACACCCTTCTTACTATTGCCTACCAAATGTCCTCAGAAAGGTCAAGTCCTCCCTTCAACCAAAATTCTTAAGTCATATACCTCCCCAGAAAATTGAAGTTTCAGTTGATTCATAACCCCAAAAAACGCCCTCCACCTCCGCTAAGATTCCTTCTAGATCCATCTTCCCCCACTTTTTGTTCATGTCGTATCTACCACACTTTTCCCCAAA